ATAAACTACTTATAGTTTACCGTCTTTAACCAGTTATAAACTACTTAGAAGTTACTTATAGTTTACTGTCTTTAACCAGGTATAAACTACTTATAGTTTACTGTATTTAATCAGTTATAAACTACTGATAGTTTACTGTCTTTAACCAGTTATAAACTACTTATAAACTACTTATAGTTTACCGTCTTAACCAGTTATAAACTACTTATAGTTTACTGTCTTTAACCAGTTATAAACTACTGATAGTTTACTGTCTTTAAACAGTTATAAACTACGTTTTGCTGTTTGTTTCTTTGCCCATGAGCAGATATATTGAATAGTTTCTACTTAAGCTCTTTAATTTTTCTTATATTAATACTTTTATATGTCATTTTTCCCATGCTGAATTCCCAAAATATTCTGAATATATCTGAGTATGTTTTACAGAACTGACAGTGAACCTGACTGGCTTTGGTAAAAGAAGCTGCTGCCTTTTAAATAAAACCCTCCAAATGTGGTCGCTGACGATGCTAAAAATCTACATTTTCCTTGCTCATAATTGTCAAGATTTGGGAAAATTGGTCAGAAAAAGAGCTTTCATCTGGTTCATTCAAACCACATAAAACCCAAATAACCGAATCATGATAAACTTCAAATATATTTCAGCCTTAGAGGGATGTTTTCCTGTTTAAAGCGGCTCCTTTTTGGAGCATTTGGACTTTAAACCAGGCAGCATGGCGTCTGACCTGAGAACAAACTTTTTTTTTGTTGAGAATCTGGAGGATTTTTTTATTTTATTTATTTATTTATTGTGGAAAGAAACAACATAATAGTAATTTACAAATAGTATAGAATCTGTTCCATGTTTTTTGACAATCTGGAGGATTTTTTTATTTATTTATTGTGGAAAAAACAACATAATAGTAATTTACAAATAGTATAGAATCTGTTCCATGTTTTATTTTTTATTTTTATTTAGTTATTTATTTATTTTTTAACATACAGTACCCAATATCTTTCATTTGCAGTGGTAAAAAAAAAATAGCTCACACACACACACACAAAAACACACACAAATGTTTTTTTTTTAAATAAAATAAAATAATAATAACAAAAAATTAAAAAGAAATACTAAAATAAATAAATAAACGGGGTGGGGTGGGGGGTTGTCAAATCACCTTAGTTAGATGGTAAGATGTTCAATGATTTGCAATAATTCACAAAAGAGCCCCATATCCGATCAAATTTACTGATTTACCTGAGAACAAACTTGGTGTTTTCCGTCTTGCCGGCGCCGGACTCCCCGGAGACGATGATGGACTGACTCATCTTCAGCACCTTCATGTCCCGGTAGGCCTTATCGGCTGGGGACAGACGGGTTAAAGCCCCAAACAATCAGCAGAAAACCCAAACCAAGTCAGAAACATCTGGAACATCAGCCTAACTATTCACTGTCCTCATAGTTCTGAGTGAATTTCAGGAACTTTCAGCTTTTCTCTCCATGAATTCTCTCATTTCATCAGCTAAAACCCTACGAAAACCCCAGAAATCTGAATTTTTTCTTGACTTAAAAGCCCAAACAACTGAGTTTGATCCCCACCAATAAGAAAAATGACAGATCCAGACTAAAGCTCACCACAGGAAGTGTTTCTGTACGACCAAATATGAGGCAACACCCAGAAAATACTGAAGCTTTTTCAGAGAAACGTGAAGAAAAAGTGAGTCTAAAATGTTTAAATGGGTTAGACGGGTTAAAGCCCCAGGAAATCATCAGAAAACCCAAATAAGTCAGAAACATCTGGAACATCTGTAATTATTCACTGGGCTCAGAGTTCTGAGTGAGTTTCAGGAACTTTTAGCTTTTCTCTCTATGAAATAGTCTCATTTCATCAGCTAAAACCTTCCAAACCCCCAGAAATCTCCTTTTTTTCTTGACTTAAAAGCCCAAAGAACTGAGTTTTTATCCTGGCCAATAAGAAAAATGACAGATCCAGACTAAAGCTCACCACAGGAAATGTTTCTGTACGGCTAAATATGACGCAACACCCCAAAAATACTGATGCTTTTTAAGAGAAACGGGAAGAAAAAGTGAGTCTAAAATGTTTAAATGGGTTAAAGCCCCCAACATTCAGCAGAAAACCCAAATAAAGTCAGAAACATCTGGAACATCTGTCTAATTATTCACTGGGCTCATAGTTCTGAGTGAATTTCACTAACTTTCTGCTTTTCTCTCCATGAAATAGTCTCATTTCATCTGCTAAAACCTTCCAAACCCCCAGAAATCTCTTTTTTTTCTTGACTTAAAAGCCCAAACAACTGAGTTTTATCCCCACCAATGAGAAAAATGACAGATCCAGGCTAAAGCTCACCACAGGAAGTGTTTCTGTACGACCAAATATGACACGGCACCCGGAAAAAACGGAATCTTTTTAAGAGAAACGGGAAGAAAAACTGAGTCTAAAATATCTTAATGGGTTAAACCGCCCAGAAAAAAAATAATAAAGTCAGAAACATCTGTAACATCTGTCTAATTATTCACTGTGCTCATAGTTCTGAGTGAGTTTCAGGAACTTCCAGCTTTTTTCTCCATGAATTCTCTCACTTCATCAGCTAAAACCTCCAGAAATATAAGTTTTTTTAACTTAAAAATCCAAAGAAAACCCCTCCGTGCACGTTGCATTATGTGGAAACTGAATTTTATGCCCACCAATAAGAAAAACAACCTAATTCCAGCAGGCAGGCAGATCCAGACTAAAGTTCACCACAGGAAGTGTTTCTGTACGACCAAATATGACGCAACACCCCAAAAAAAACAGAAGCTTTTTGAGATAAACCGGAAGAAAAAGTGAGTCTAAAACGTTTAAATGACCATTTAACCCCTCCAAAATAAAACAAAATAAACACTTTATTACCTTAAAATAGTCCAGATAAATAAAATGTTTTTGGACTGATTTTGTATTTTGTGATTTTGTGTTGTTTGGTCTTTTACAGATGTAAACTAGCAACTATGCTAGAATCTGGCTCATTTACAATCTGTATGAGATTGTTCATTAATGTGCACTGTCCTGATTAAATAGATAAATAAAATAAATGAATAAAATAAGATAAAACCCTGTCTCCTGAGGGTTGGAGGCCTTACCGATGGCGTAGACGTGGGGGGGCAGCGTCCCCAGGGACCTGCCCCGGTATTTCTGGATGGTTTCCGGGGAGTAGAG